ATATATACTCCATATTAATTATCGTAAACTACACGGACAAAACTGAAGTGGGATCGGATATTTAAATGAGTACTATGAGGATATTTTTTCGTTTGCGTGAAATATGGAATATATTTTCACGAAACATGATAAAATGCCACATATATGTGGCATTTATCATGTTGTGTGAAAATATATACCATATTTCACAAAAAACGAAAAAATAACCTTTTTATTTAATTTCGTTATCAATGAAAATGGTAACGAACCCCCTTGCTTGCTACCAACTGCAATTGTACAGCGCTCAGTAATTATGCGTAAGCACGCGCTGCTTGGCGCTACATTGTGACGTCATGTAAACAACTCTTTAAACGTCTGTACAGCGTTAATTACTGAATTAAAGATATTGGTGTTCGGATTAATTTTCTTAGACCATTTTCTATCATGCTAGATAATTTTCAAAACAATATTCAAGAAAAATGTGTTTTGTATTTATCAGATTTTTCAAACAAAACGGCGAAAGAAGTCCCTTAAAATAAATATGAGTTTTGACTCCGCCCACTTTCATATTTATATTTCATATTTATTTTAAAAAAATATGAAATATATTTGACTGATATAACACCATATTTCATGGGTAAAATTAAATAATATCATGTATTCATAATTGACCGGTAAAAACAAACACACTATAGTTGATGCTAACTGTAAATATTTGTTGGCTTGGTTTAAATAATTTTGTAATGTTGATTAAAAGGATGTGAAATTTTTATTTTTGGTTTTGTCATTTAAACACAACTTGAAATAGAAGTTGAGTCCATGATATAGACAAAAGACAAAAATCATGTATTACCTATTGAACATTAACGAGGACTTTACCAACAAGTACATGTAGTATCAGCGCATGTGGCGACAACAAGGGCCAATCATAGGAAATAAAGCGAGTAAAATCCGATTGTTCATTCTGTTACTGTTTTATCGCATTACCATCACGACATTTGCTTGGAGATTTACTGTCCCTCGCAATACCTGCATTATTAAAGCTAAAATTAGACTATTTTTATGCTCCCCGAAAAATTTTGGGGGAGCATATAGTCGCTGCCTTGTCCGTCCGTCATTCCGTCCGTCCGTCCGAGCAAACATTTTGGGTTTAGGGGCTATATAACAGTAAAGAGAACAAAAGAGAACAATAGGTTCATTCCGTGATCAAAGGGTTTCGGGGCTAGTAGCCCTTAAGAAAACAAAGAAAATAACAAAGAAAATAGCCCCTAAACCCAAAATGTTGGAACGTTCGTCCGTCCGTCCGCTTTTCTTGTCCGGGACATTACTTTGAAATAACAAGAGGTATCAACATGAAACTTGTAGGTAGATAGATCTCATTGAGTAGGTGTGCTGTGCACAAGAACCGTAACTCTGCCTTGCCTACTTTATGAATTATTCCCCTCTGTTTATTTTTACACTTTGAACTTTGTCCGAAAGATAACTCTCTAAAAGTATAAGAGGTATTAACATGAAACTTTGTAGGTAGATAAATCTCATTGAGTAGGTGTGCAGTGCACAAGAACCGTTACTCTGCCTTGGCTTATTTTTGAATTATCCCCTTTGTTTATTTTACACTTTGAACTTTGTCCGTGACACAACTCTAAAACTATAAGAGGTATCAACATGAAAATTTGTAGGCATATAGATCTCATTAAGTTAGTGTGCAGTGCACAAGAACCGTTACTCTGCCTTGCCTTATTTTTGAATTATCCCCTTTGTTTATTTTACACTTTGAACTTTGTCCGTGACACAACTCTAAAACTATAAGAGGTATCAACATGAAAATTTGTAGGCAGATAGATCTCATTGAGTAAGTGTGCAATGCAGAAGAACCGTAACTGAGCTTTGCATAATTGTTTTATTATTCCCCTTTGTTTATTTTCACACTTTGAACTTTGTCCGGGACATAACACTAAAACTATTAGAGGTATCAACATGAAACTTTGTTGGTAGATAGATCTCATTAAGTAGGTTTGCAGTGCACAAGAACTGTTACACTGTCTTGCCTACTTTTGGAGTTATTGCCCTTTGTTCATTTTGACACTTTGACATTTGTCCGGGACATGACTCTAAAATTATAAGAGATATCAACATGAAACTTTGTAGACAGATAGGTCTCATTGGGTAGAAGTGCAGTGCTTAAGAATCATTACTCTGCCTTGCCTTATTTTGAAGTTATTGCCTTTTGTTTATTTTTACTTTTTGACTTTTGTCCGGGACATAACTTTAAAACTATTAGAGATATCAACATGAAACATTGTATGCAGCTAGATATCATTGGATAGAACTGCAATGCTTAAAGAACCTTAACAAAGCCTGGTCTAACTTTGGAGTTATTGTCCTTTGTTCATTTTTACACTTTGGATTTTACTCGGGGCATAGCTCTGAAACTATAAGAGATATCATCAGAAAACTTTATAGATAGATATATCTCATAGAATAGAAGTGAAGTGCAAAAAAAAACAACATAACTCCTCCTTGCCTAATATTGGAGTTTTTGCCCTTTGTTCATTTTGCCTGTGTCCAGAACCTTCTAGGGGAGCATCACCCGGTTCAACCGGTTCTTGTTTAATAAATACACAGAAATACACATATTATGTGCCTCCGATCCATTGCTGTCGAAGTAATAGTGATCCCGTTTTCCTTATTCGGCGTCAAAGCCCTGTCATTATCGCAGGCTTGGACTTAAATAGTCAAAAAGTTACTGAGACGGAGTTGTCCCTTTCGCAGACATTAACAGAAATCGAGATGTTTTAAGTAACATAGGTCTACTGACATGAATGATTTAGTAAATGATGTACAACTGGATCATTTCGGCACTTCTTATTGCTTGACTTTGACCTAGGTTTATAAGAAAAACTTAGAATTAAGAAAAAAATTAAACGCTTTGGAGAAAGATTTCCGACGCGGACCTTGACGCGCAGGTACAATGTCAAATATCAAATAACACGGAACAAAACATGGAATGGGCTAACAATACATTTGAGGCGTTTTGGAAAGCAAAGTCTTGTAAAAATCAATGTTTGAGGGACTGGAAATAAAAACCTATTTTTAAGTTAGTGGACAATTTTTAGATCGAAATATTTATCACCTTTCCAGCTCAATTTTTCAAAATAAGAAATCTTCTAGGTAAGAATTCTCGTGTATATCTTACAGTTATATCTCGTACACGTATTTAAAAACTAGCGAATATGTAGTGAATTCTACTTAATTTACCTCCGGTATATTACAAATTGGCATGATATATATTGATTTTCAGAACAGTTATTTTGAAAAAAATGAAGTGTTGCAACTTTTTTAGAATGTAATGAACTTATATCTAAGTGTTTTAGATTTCAATTAAGCATTAAAGATCTTAAATTCATAAACATTAGCTAATTTAAAAAACAAACAAAAATATCAAGAAGTTACAAAATAGTTGGTTCTTAAGCAACTGTTTATTTTAATTTCCCAAGCAACCGAATGATAATTTAGCAAGCAACCGTACATTGAGGAAACAACACCAATAACGATGTCTTCATATTTTTCTAAACCACTCTGCGCAATCTAAATGTTAATTTGTATAATAATATAATTGATGAATCTCTAATGCACATATTATTTTATAAATTTTTAATCGGCCAAATCTCAATAAATATTACAAAAAAGCGTAAAAATTTTATATTATTGTTTAAAGATTTCAAGTACCCTGTGATTGACCTATCTTCTCCTTTACATATTGTGTTATAGCCCACATCAGGATCAACGTAAATGCATAAATATTTTTACGGATGCTCACTTTTTTTTAGATCCATATCCTTTGCATACCTGAGATGTATTAGAACGTACACGTTTTTTTCTTTCCCCCAAACTTGGTGATTGAACGACTACAACGTTATATATAGTTTTCAAATTTTGTTGTTTCAACAACTCGACATCAAATCAGCGTAGAAACCCTTAAACTCTTTCTTAGAAAAAAGAATGATCAATGTTTATAAAAGACTGAAACTTCATTGAAGACTAAAAAACAAATAAATATACAACCTTTGAATGTTCAATATACAGTAAATTTACTATAAACTTCATTAACTTGTCAATTTAACTTTTGACAATTTATTGTAAATAATTAAGAACTATTCAGATGTTCAAAAATCATCTGCAAAAAAAAAAAATGAGTGCTATTTTTAAAACAATTATTTTGTGTCAAGTTTGGGGTGTAAACCTAAGAATTTTTTGCTTTTCGATTGTTAATATTACCGTATTTTGCCCCCCCCCCCCAAAAAAAAACAATTAAAAAACAATGAAAATCAATGGAATATATTTAATATTGCTTACTGGTACATATTTATACTCTCAAAAATACTTTTTATATACATTACAGTTTTCAGTTAAAGGGTTTAACGTAAGAAACTATATCAGTCTGAACGGTGTCTATCGGCTATTCAACGCTGGTTTGGAGTTTTGATGCGTAGAAATTGACCACGAATGTCGTTTGCCTGAGTGGCCAATTTTTTCGCATTTAAAAGACACAACCGGTGTTAAATAGCCGATAAACACCGCTCAGATCGATATTTTTTCGATTATAACAAGACACAATAAGAAGGATCACTAAGCTATTTTTTCAAGCGGATATCACTTCCGGATATCACTTCCGTAAAAACCTGTTCGATTTCGCACCCTTCTTTTGCTAAGATATAGAAATTATTAAACACAAGTGATAATAATACAAATAATAATAATAATAATAATAATAATGATTTTTTTTCCGTCGCGAACCGTAAAATGTATTAAAAACGCGTAAAGCCGTTATAATATTGGAAATTGCGAAAAACGTACACGATTAACGACGTTGAAGTCGTTATCTGTAAAAATGGCACCGGCTATAAGAAGAGAAACATTGTATTCGTTTCAATACGTAATACCGTTTCGTTGCAAAAATTAACCCGGTGTCTAAAGACTGTTGGGTTCTCCCCCTTGATAAGTTTATATTGAATGCTTACCTGTTTCTGGTGCACTTTTACTTGTTGAGATGGCACGATATTCCTGATGCATGACACAATCCTGTGAAATATAACAGTTTTAATCAATTTAATTTAATTTAATTATTACAATGACAAAACAAAGTGAAAAACATACAGACGTCCTTTAAGTTCAATTAATTTTAAAGTACGATAAATAAATTATAGGTTTATATAAAGATAACAATGCTTATAATTTCAAATAAAAGCAAAAAGGAAATCCCAAAAAATATGAACCCCTTAAGAATGGTCCAAACGGTAAAAATTGAAAATATTTCATAATCGGTTTGATTTAGCCTGTTCATGCACGGCACTGGAAAGTACAAGCAACCAACCTCCGCTTAAGCAGCGTAAGAAAGATATGTTTCCTAAATCAGGAGACATAACTATATTTAATAAATATAATGCAGTAACAACATTTTTCTTCGACACGTAATTTATCAAGATCACTTACTTTAAAAAAAAAAATAAAAGGACAATTGCATTTTTTTCGGCTCTTTCAGTCAATCTTCTTATAAGGAAATCGAACCAATTATAATGATTACGCGTAACGGTTACGTTTTTCGGTCTTACCTTCGCTAAATAACTATATCGGGTACAAGTCCACTTAGATTAAGAAAACTTGAAGATATGCATAGACAAATACTTAACATTCTACTAACCATTATGTTTTAAGGTAGAACACCTCTAATGGACACTACTGGGAACTGTAAAATTGACTACATAGGACAGTTATATTCCTCAAATGTTACCTGTAAGCAAAATTTAAACAAAATTTACCATGTGGTTTATAAGTTATAGACATTTTTCTTAACTAAAACTTTGCCATTAGAAGGGCTTTTTTCAGAAATTAGGAAACTCTAAATAATCTATAATATCATCACATGAAAAGTGTTTTCTTATTATCCATTGTTAAGAAACAAATAATGACATTCAGATAACATATAAAACAAGAAAACGATTTTTTCCAAATAATATGCTTTTAATATGTATAAAAATGTAACCCTAACCCTTCCACTTTAAACACTTACTTTACCATTTCCTTACGTAAAAAGCCATATTTAAAATATCCTTTAACTTTTCCACAATGAGGGAATGTTTTCAAAGTTTGCCTAAATTTTCTTAAATGTATATTGGTTTGTCCTGCAAATTATATAATACTTTTACCGTGTATTTTTTATTTTTATTAAACTTTGAAAATATCTGGTATCATATTTGCTATTAAATTTGGCATTTTTTATCAAATAAATACCTACAATATTTATATAATTAAAATGAAACAGATTTATCTGCCATTACGGATCTGAGTGATTCATAAAAAATGTTTAACTTAAAAGAAAAAAAAGAAAAGAAAAAAGTTGCCCCTTCTAGGGTTTGAACCCACGCCCCTCATTTTCAATACACTTGACAGTGATTCTAGCCTGTTTGAATACTCTTCAAAGTGGAGATAGTATATTAGAGGTGTGCTACCTTAAAACACCGAGAGTACAAACTGTACACATGTTGACTATATTTATAATTTGGTTATGGTTGGATAAAAGATATTGCTTGTAAAACCTACTTTTCAATAATTAATTTACAGAAATTTTCTCGTATTCGGTGTTTGCCCAAATAGATTGGGAAACTTTTCCAGCTTAATTTATTGTAATGCATCACAATAACACGAACTGATTTTACTCATATATTAGAAACAAGGATAACCAATTTAATCACGATCAATAAATAAGTAATTAATAAGAAAAAATACTTTAAAAAATGATAACAAGACGCATGATGCTTGCATAATACAGTCATGAATAGTAAACTAGAAAACGTATTGCCATTGTCGTGAATATCATTTATTGTTATACAAATAAACACTCATGCTATAGGTACAATTCTATGATTGAAATAAATAGTTTGACTTTCCTCTTTCTAAACTTTACAAGCCTTCAATTAAAATATTTTTGACATGACACATAAAAAAGTATATCCAGTTATGAGGTTTGTTTGTACTGTTTCGTTAATTTTTCTTACAATGAGATTTGTTTAGCAAATTAATCAATTAAAGTTAAAATAATCATGGTTGTCGTGGCATGATCTAATTACATAAGGAATAACCTAATTATATGTATATGGTATTGTTATACAAAAATAAACTTTATATTAATGAAATAGAAAATAATATACCTTATTGGTAAAGATTAAATCCACAATAAGCCTAATATATTATCTATGTTAACACACAATTAAAAAACTTAAACGTTGTTTTTGTCCAATGTGAAGAATTAAGTATCTGTCATTATTTAAATGCTTTGTGTGCATTAACAAAACCATCATTTTATCTTCATTGTAAGGGTTAACTTACGGTTCATAAAGTGTTAAAAATGGTATTATACGTTTACAGCAAAGCGTGATAAAGCGTATAATATTGACTTAAAACTTGAAAAGAGCTTATTGCGAAATTTATTATTCGCCCATGTTTAATTGCTTTTTTTTAACTTTACCGTAATATGCACTAGATACTTGATGTATTTAGATATCGCAAAAGATGAGACATAAACAGAAATTAACATTCTACTTAATATATCTTTTGTCATTGCAGAAAAATCAACGAATCATTTATAACTTCTTTTTCTTTATTCGTTTTATTTCAGTGCACTTAAAAATACTTCGAGGGACCAAGTAATAATTATGTGTTGGAACTTTTTATACATAAAATACCGAACGGAATAGAAAAATATGCATATTATAGGTACAACAAAGTCCACGTAAGAACAAGAAGCAGGACATTAAAATCGAATAAGAATTATCCACAAACGTTCAATAGACCCATCTGTTTTTATAAAATTATATAATTAGTGCAAATGTTTTGTGGGCAAGAGCGGACTATTATAAGAGGCGAAAGTCGAGGGTAACTTTATTTGTACGAGAGATGTTACTACTCACAAAATTAATTTATTACCTCAAACAAATAGTTCATTGTTACACTGTTAATATAGTTTTTTTCATATCTTTTCTAGCCACATGGTACATTTGAATTAACAGTGATAATTACTCCATTTTGTCTATGGATAATTAACATTACACACCCAGTGACGTGAAATAAAAGTGTTTGCAAAAGCAAAACATTAACACTCAAGTGTTAGTTCTTTGATGATTAGATAGTTGTAGAATTGGATGCTTAGCTTGTAGTATGTACGTGAACTTAGTAAGTTCGTCTAATGGAGAATTTATGGACACGACTATGACACTTAAATATGCCATCGTCTATGAATAACTGAAGTTGTCTACATAATTAAAGTTGTTTCATTTTGAATTTGTGTCTTCTATTTTTGTGTCTTCTATTTCTGCTTGATATTTGGACATCTGGCAGCTGCGTACATACAGCTCCTCAGCTCTGCGTAGTTCGTCTGTAGTTAATATCTCTAATCATCGTATGACTCCCTTCTCGACATTTGAATATAATACGCAGGACATAAGCTGTATCTCAGAGCAGCTTTACCAACGAACTGATCCTTGACTTGTCTATGAAACTGATATTGCTTAATGATAAAGCTGTATCATTTGGCTTAGTTCCTTGGTTAATTAACGTTGTCATGGTAACGTTAGTATATCTTTCTTGCCAAACAGGCCAACTGTCAGGTGGGGTAAGCCATATAGGTCTGTGAAACCATAGATAACTGTTCTTGAAATGAGTCACAGAGATTTACAGAATGAACTTCTTCCTAAGGCGGTTTGGGAACATTGCGTCAATCTGTGTACGCCATGCAGTTTTCTCTTAATGCTTTAAGTATACCGGAAGTAGATTTATCAGTCGCATTTTCTAATATGTCCATAGATTTTAACTTCAGAGACCTCTAAAGATCTGTGACATGAGGTTGCGCCGACATTTAACATATCGTTAAATGACGGCCATTTTTTAGCATCCGTAAAGGGTCCTAACAGTAATTCTAACACGACCCGCATTTTTCCCTATTGAACAAAGAAGAACCGAAAGTGTGTGTTATTATGCAATAGAGTCACTGTTTGACGTTCTATATTTAGACATGTGACGTAATCATTATACATGTGACGTAACCACTATAAAATCCGACGCGCTGACAATAAGTACGGAAAAAATCAGGCGCAATTTTGCTTAATAGCAGGTACGGCAGCATTTATTTGTTTATGTCGTGTTAGAATCGAAATAATATATCCAAATCGGTGATTTTATTGCTGGATAACATCACTGTTTGTCGTTCGGATGCGCATCATTATATCACTCGGGCTACGCCCTCGTGATATAATTCCTCGCATCCGAACTCCAAACAGTGATGTTATTGAGCGATAAAATCACAGTTTGGGACATATTATTTCTTAAATAACCGGGCTTTTATTTCAAAGCCGTATGCCCACACTTAACGACCTTATTCAGTACGATCTGCCAAAAATAATCTACACCGATAAAGAGTGATATCACGAAATCGTCGTCAATGTCGGAAATAGGATGTGCAAGTTTAAGACGTCAAATAATTATATTTCAAACATTTCATATTTCATTGAAAGTAAGGTAATGGTTCAGCAATGGTTGGTACAATAAGTGCAATAAGTGTTATGGTATCTACATGTAAGACGTGTAGAAACACTCTGTGGGTTTATGACGACACTGTTCTGTTTTGCCGCCAAAAGATGCTAATGATATAGTGTCCGAACCAGTGTGTTTGAATTTGAGTTTCTCAGATAAATGACCTTTGAGCACTTTTATCAAATAATATGTTTATATTAGTTTTCGTATCATCTTGCAAAAATACTTCAGCGACAGCAGTCTTGAGTAAAATGTCCGATCTTTGATGTGTAAGTGAATAGAATTAGGCAGTTCCTGTATTTCCTGTTTGGCCGGAATTATAGCTTATGAATAATGACGCATGCATATCAAAACCAAAATTCGATAGCTTGTCACAAATACTAGAAAAGTGCTTTCGCTGGTTTTTCTTGCATCGGAACTTAAAACGACATTCTGAAACTTGGTATTTTCCCAAACAATTGAAACACATGCGTTTGGGTTTTAATACAAGTTAGTTTTT